AAACATTCTCAAAAATATTCTCCTTGGATGTCAGTTTGGAGGTCTGGTTAACCTATGGGGCCTCTGGTAGTGGATCAGTATTTATCCTTAGTACACGAATGAATTTTGGGAGCCCACTCCACATAGAAGGATACTCTCTCAGCCTAGACACACTGGGGAGGGTCTAGACCCTGCTCCAAATGATATGACAGACTTTGAAAATCCCTCATGGAAGGCCTCGCACTCCCTGGGGAGCAGAAAGGGGACTGAATAGGGGGTCAGTGAGGGTCAGAGGAGGAGGGGAGGGAGAGAGAACTGGGATTGACATGTAAAACAAGCTTGTTTCTAATTTAAAATTTTAAAAAGGGAAAAAATATTCTCCCAAATGATTAAATCAGTCTCAAAAAGGCAAATTGCATGTTTTCTCTCTTCTTTGGATCCCAGATTTTGTACAGATGGACAGAATCATGTAGGAATTGAGGACATGAGAGCAGAAACACTATGAGACAAAGGGAACTAGAAGGAGTGGGGAGTAACAGGAGGGTCAGAGCAGGAGAGCAGTGAAAGATGTTATGTAGTCATATGAAAGTATCTTACCAAATACAATACTAGATATAATGCATACACAACACACACACAAACAGAAATCATGCCTCAAAGAGAATTCAATCATACTCTTACATCATTTTTTGAGAAAGAAACCACTGATTTTAACTTGTTTTTTAGACTTTTCTTGCTGAATAGCATAAACTAAATTATGAATCTTTTTATATGTACTAAATCTATAATAAAGTATTTTTATTCCAAATACGGAATAGTCTCCTAACAAGAGACATTCTGATCATCTGACGATGTGTTTTTAAATGTCATAACTAAAAGATTTTATGGAACAACAAATGTCAACAAAAACTCATTAAAGCATAGTGCTGTGAATAATTCTACCAAGCAATCTTTTTTCCACTGTTAATACAAACATCTGTTTTAATCCACCAGCCAATATTACCAACAACCTCTGGCTCATTGTAGAATTATGTACTTCAATCTGCCAAAACAAAGATTTTAGGTTGATCAAAATAATGCCGCCTTCCAGCCTAGATGATGTGGGGGAGACACTTGACCTCAGCACTGGCTGAAAAGCTATTAGCATTTGACAGTGGTGCATGGGGGACAGTCAGTTGCTTTAGTGACATGACACATCAAGTGGGACCACACAGCAGAGCTGGCCCCAACCCCAAGACTAGTTGGGCAACACAAACTGGACTCAATGAAGAAAAGAAAAATTAATCTCAAAGTTCATTATGAAGGAAAGGGATGCTGACAGGGTAGTCGTAGGAGGGGTTGAGAGCGTGAGCATGTTCAAAAATGCATAGGAAGTTTTCAAAGAATTAATAAAAATATAGAATCGAGTACAAGTTTATTCTTTAAATAATACTATGTTATCAGCACAAGAATTTGTCAGAGTAAAACCAATGTAAAAACAAAAAAAAAAGGAAAATAAGAGTGATGACCAAATAGATGATCCATAACAGTATTTTGAAGACAGAGGGCAAACAAAAGATTTTTAGAGAATTAAACTTACTCAGAATGTCTTAGAAAAATGACCACTTAAATGAAGTTTGTCATAATATACTATTATACAATATCTACATGATTACATTAAAAGGTTATGAAAAAAACTAGCTCTTTCAAAAGAAAAATATTTTAACAGGTTTCTTAGTTCTTTCCAAAATACTTCATTTTTTTCTTTGTTATTATGTGGAAACTTTGTGTGCTACTTCAGCTGGATCTTAAAGTAGAAACTACTTACCCACACCAATTTATCCTAAACAATAAAAATCTCCAGCATTGAAGAAGTCCTAACTCCTCTGAGTTTTAACTAAGTAATTACATAATAAAGACTTGAACAAAATCTAAAATAAATCCAATCCACTAGGTCAAAACTCAGGAGCACACCCTTGCTTCCTTTCTGTGTGTAATTTCCTAAATACAATCCCGTCAAAAGTTGATATCCCAAAATCAATGTTTAACACTTAAAACAACATGGGGTCAATGAGGTGGCTCTGTTGATAAAGACACCAAGTAATGGACAGGAGTGCAAGTCCCAGACCTCATGTGTGAGAGGAGAAAATCAACTTTTAGGAGTGGTCTTCTGACCTATATCCACATGTGTGCGTGCACACTCACACACACACATGCACACACACACACACTCTCTCACACACACATACACATACATACACACACTCTCTCTCCCCTCTCTCTCTCTCTCACTCACACACACACATGCACACACACACACACTCTCTCACACACACATACACATACATACACACACTCTCTCTCCCCTCTCTCTCTCTCTCACTCACACACACACATGCACACACACACACACACTCTCTCACACACACATACACATACATACACACACTCTCTCTCTCCCCCCCTCTCTCTCTCTCACACACACACACACACACACACACACACACACACACTGAACTATTTAATTAATCAGACTGAAATTTAAAAATCCATCCACTAATGCGTGGGTCAAACGCCTCTAGTTGACCTCCAGCCACCTTTTCCTTTATTTGACTCAACAGCATAGAAAACGAAGACAGTGCAGATTATAACTTTTCAGTTTGTCAGTTACACACTTTACATATGTCTGAAAGAGAATGAAATAACTAATTTCATTTGGTTTCTAGATGACTCTTCTTGGGGAGAGTTAAATTGGAAGTTGATAGCCCGTCTAGAGCTCACTTAAGACTAAACAGCATTTGCAGTTGGACAGAAAGGTTAGAGCAGCCATGTAATCACAGCACTTGGAGGTGAGGAGTTCAAGGTCATTCCTGGCAACACACCCTGGGCTACATGAAATCATGTATCAATGAAAGCTACATTTTATATCTATTGAACCACACTCGTTCAAAGAAAAATACCCATTTCTTTATTATTTATAATTTTAGAACATTTTTGTGATGAATAAAGAATACTGTGTCAAAATCAGCCACATGCCTTTTTGTCAAATCTCAGAATTTCCAGTCATTTAACTATAGTCTCATTAAAAAGGAAAACAAAAGCATATTTTGCATTGATTCTTCAGCAAAGCTAGTTTAGAAGAAGCAGAGTGGACAAAATGGCCTCTGAGACCTCTAATACACTCAGTTAAACAAAACGTTATGTATATATAACATATAAATATGTGTATATAACAAATAGAAACAAAATTAATGTTTATAATATAAACTGCCATAATACATGCATTTGTGTATATGTACTGTATACACACACACACACATATATATATGTATATATATATTTCCTTTAATGTTTAATGTATAACCTATCTAGACTTAAAGCCACTTTATCTAATTTTATCATCATAGTATTTCCAGACTTTTACTAACTTGGAAAATAATCAGCTAAATTTTTGCTCATTGAGCAATGTCCTTGGGTGCCTCTGGCTAAAGTGACTGTCACAGCTTTAATAACTGTTACCTTTGAATTAATGTGATAGAGCTAAGATACTAAATTTAGAAAGGGACGCAACCCTTTCCAAAGGATTCTCCTAAAGGAGAAACATGAAAGTGTGACCAAAGCTTGGAAACCAGGTTACAGTAATGGAAGTGAACTTTGACAAATCCTCTCCAGACTGGAAAAAGAAGGAGACAGGAACCAGTGCTACGCCACCATTGTGGGCTTATTCCAATTCTAGGCAGAAAGTTACTGTCTGCATTCATTCATGCTAAACTGTACAATGTTGGTGTTGAATTATCTTCAATTTTACACTCAGGAAATCCCTAAAAAGTGACTTTCTGAGTTGATCCATGCTATTCTGTAAAAGGTGGGTGTTTTTATCTTCCATTTTATACCCAGATAAATGAACCACAAAGGTAAGTATCTTGAGGCAAGAGTCAGGACACTGGCCTCCTCTCCTCACTAGGGCCCCTTTGGCATCTCAGCTGTGAACATCAAACGAAGACCTCTATGCAAATTAATCTGGAAAAGGAACAGAGGGCTCCACCCAGGTCTTTAAATATGTCCTCGGTCCTTCAAAGCCTGGAGCCTTCCACCACTAAGTTGATTCCACAACCTTCCTAAAATGCTCAATGACACTCAGTGTTGCTGTGCAGAACACTAACTTGTGATAGGTTTTCATGTGAGCTGCACCCCTAGAACCTACTTTTTGGGCAGATAATCAGAAACACATGGACAGTGAATAAACTGATCCTACTCTAGCCAACTGCTTCCTAATTTTATTGCTCACATTAGAGTCATGTTTAATATAAAGTATTCTCTTTCTTTTGCATTAACTATCTTTCCTATAACAAAAATTCAGTCTGCTTGAGCTTCAGAAACAGGCAGACTTTTTGAGAATGTGTGGAAGTCCTCCCACAGGGTAAAAGATTGCTACAGACTTCCTCAGCCAGTGAGGCCGGCATGGATTGTAACCTTTTTCTCCTCACTGGCTTTTCTCTCTTTTATCTTCCTCTGATACAGAGTATAGCCAGCTAAGCAAGTGAATTCTTCAATGTATTCTTGCAGTCATTTACAAATGTATGTGTCAGTGTGTGTGGGGTGATGTGTTCCTCCAAAAATGTCCAGGCCATTCTTACAATAATATTCTCTTCAATCATTTATTCATTCATTCTACTTCCTCTTTCCAGGGCACAGAGAAGCTAAGAAGGAGTTTCTTGTGTTGTCTCTACCTGACATTCTCTAAGCCTGTGGATTTCTTCTTCTGTTGCTTCTGTTATGTTGCCACACAACCCTCTTAGACATTAGATTAACAACCAGTCATCTTGGCCATGCATTTTGTTATACTGGTGTGGATAAAGAAATTGATTACTAGTGGAATCAACTGGTTTTCCAATGCTCTTGAGCCACATTATCACAGCTACAAAGGCAGAAGCCAGCAGCAAAAGTCTAAGAACCTTTAAGATTCTTCTACATGTTGATATCCACTGCCAATTGAATGCAAACAAGAAGGAAGCAGAGGAAAACTGTGTTTACTCACTTACCAAAACAACAACTACAGGATACAAGAGAGGAAGGCTGCTCTCTTCAATTATGCTCAGGAACCTCTGGGTTTCGTGAGAATCAGAGGACACAACCTTGAAGATAAGAAAATAAGAGAAACGGACAGGAAGTTTTTACAGAATGGAAGTTGGCTCATGGAAGGTGAATTTTACAACATATTCAATGTATTTATCAAAATTAACCATTAAAGCACTTTAAAGAATGCATAATTTATGCATGCTAAAAATTCAGCTATTTTCTAGGTTGAGCTGTCTACAGAAGCAATACTTGCATCTCGTTCTAGGAATTGGGTTCAGAAAATAATATTTCCTATTTGAAATGGTAAAATACAACTTTTTGTTTTGGTTTTTTTGTTTTGTTTTGTTTTGTTTTTTCGAGACAGGGTTTCTCTGTATTGTTTTGGAGGCTATCGGTCCAGCCCAGTTTTGAACTCACAGAGATCCGCCTGCCTCTGCCTCCCAAGTGCTGGGATTAAAGGCGTGCGCCACCACCACCCGGCTGTAAAATACAACTTTTATCACATAGTAAATAAAAGAATTAATTTATAAAAATCTACTGTTGCCCATGTAAGGGTCAAGAAAAGTCCATTCCCTCTGAAATTGTTTGCTCAGGCCTCAAATGCTTCCCATCATTTGTGTTTGGTACTTACATTCACATGGATGAAGCTATAGCACTGGGCCATGAGGAAGTTCTGCGTGTCTCTGCCTGGGAGATCCAGAGGTGTGGATGTGATGTTAATGCACTAGGAGAAAAAGCAAATCAGAAGACACTTGCTATCTGAACACGGACCAACATGAACCCAAGTGGCTTTATGACAAAGCAGCAGATGTGTTAAAAACTCATGGATCCCTACAGCATCTACAGTAATAAAGCCAGGCTAAACTTTATCAGACCACAACAAGAAAGATAATTTAATCCATGAATATTTAATCCACGAACAATAGATACTATTTTAAAAACCAAAATTGTAGGGAACTGTTTCAAACAGGGGGAAGTGCTGGGGACTAAGAACACTAAGGAACAGGAAAGGGGCCTGGTTTATGTTTTCAGAAGCATTTATTGCAGTGGATGTTCAGGGACCAGAACAGAAAGTCTGACTGCGCGGTGGTGGTGGTGGAATTGTAGAGGCTTGTTTAATGTCTTAGTTCAAACAGTAGATTTCACTCCACCTGGAATAACTAAAAGCAGGGAACGCAATAAGAAATTATTTCAGTGATGTCTGTTAAGGAGAAATAAGAACTGCACTTGGGCAGTAATAATCAAAAACCAAAGATTCTGCCAAAAGCCATCTTCCAATAGGGATGGTGGTGCACACCTTTGATCCCAGCACTCAGGCCACAGAAGCTGATGGATCTTAGTGAGCTCCATGCCAACCTTGCCTTCATAGTGAGACTCTGTCTCAACAAACAAACAAATAGTAACCTTAAAATAGACTAGAATAGACAGTACAACAATCATAAAAACATTCCCAAATAAAATATTTCTTAGATCTTGGCATTATCTTGCTTCAAGTATTTCTTTAATTATAAATACAAACTTAGGAATTATTATGTAGGATTCTCTTATAAAAACTGAGTTGTAATATGTTCCAGGGACTTTCATTTCATGGTTCATACCTAGGTGGCATTTATCACACGTTACAATATATATTTATAAAACACGATGCTGTTCCTGACACATGGAACTGTAGCCCCGAGATGCCCTACTCGATAGCTTAAGCCCATATACTGTTAGGAACTATGGGATGATGGAGAGCGGAGGCTTCAAGAGCTAGTTCTGATATATAAATTAGTTCACAGAGAACTCTCAAGATTTAATTCCATTTAAAATATGTCCTGAACTCAAAGTTGAAAGAGAATACTGATTTAAAAAAAAAAAAAGAAAGAAAATGAAAAGGAAAAGGAAAAAAAGAAAAGAAAACAAGGCAAGCCTTCCCTGGTAGCATTTACAATTAACACAATAAGAGAGATCAACTCCGACTGTGCATCAAGCTTCACCAAGAAATCCCATCTTCTGGATGTTATACGGAGACAATATTTCATGGCCTCTAAAGGATCCAAATAATTTCAAAGGCTAATTTGCTCCAGACCATTCCATGAGGTTGGTATAGCAGGCCACTTCGAATGAATGCTATGCGTTTTCTACTGCAGATTCGCTTACTTTTTAGACATTAAGAACAGAGATGTCACTCTCCTGGACATTCCCCAATAATAAAGACATGTCTCCCATGTGCCTGAAGGATGAGCGGATTTGTCAGCATCCATTGCGTATGGTTAGACTTTTCTAATATCAGGATTTTTCCCCTCCCTCCCTCCTGTTGTCCCAGTCCCTCCCTCCAACCTCACCCCCAACCCATCCAGTCCCTTGCCCTTCCCATCCAGAAGCTGACAGAAGAGAATGCACCGGGACCGAAGACTAAGTCCTGAACAGAACACCAATTGTTCAGGCCCCAAGATCAGCGAATAATGAACAGGACCTTGTGACACTGAAAAACTTCTTAAGGCAAAGGACACCATCAAATGAACAAAACAGCATCCCACAGAATGGGAAAGATCTTCACCAACCCCACATCTCACAGAGGGTTAATTTCCAAAATGTATAGAGAACTCAAGAAACTAGATATCAACAAACCAAATAATCCAATTAAAATGTGGGCAACAGAGGAATCTCGAATGGCCAAGAAATGCGTAAAGAAATGCTCAACATCCTTAGCCACCAGAGAAATGCAAATCAAAACAACTCTGAGATTCCATCTTCCTCCTGTCCGGATGTTTATAAAGAGCTCCACTGTCAGGAAACTACTAACCTAACTGCATCTCTCCAGGAGTTGCATTTCAGAGAGCAAGTTCTGCCCTCTGTTCTTGCTACTGAAATGACTGTAAGGAGTAATTATCTTTTCCCAGGGTCTGGAGTCTCAGGTCTTCAACAGGATCAGAGGCACTGTGTGCATGGAAGCAGTATCGCCTCTCATTTGTCAGATCCGAATCCAGACAACCACAGAAACACACCGTACCATGCACAAATCTGGATTCAGAAGAATTGATTTAGTTCAAGAATTCCCTTTTGCACATACATAAGTGAGATCTGTGAGGAAAACTTGAGTTTTTTGTTTCGTTTTGTTTTGTTTTTTTTCTTTTCTCTTTAAATTAGAAACAAGCTTGTTTTAGATGTCAATCCCAGTTCCCTCTCCCTCCCTTCCTCCCCTGCCTTCCACTAACCCCCTATCACATTCCCTTTCTGCTCCCCAGGGAGGGTGGGGCCTTCCATGGGGCATCTACCAAGTCTTTGTAATTAGTTGTGCTCCTAAGCATAGAAAAATAGTTGAGTTTTTTGAGGGCAGAGTTTGGAAGAGTTGAGAAAAGAAATACATTTTTAACCACTAGAAATGCTTAACGAGTTTAAAACTTTGCCGTATATATGAAAGAAGACTAGTCTTAACTCTGGAAAAGTAGCATCCATTTTTAATCATCGAAGAATAACCTCCTAGTATTAGATAAACACCATTCGATGCTGTAACTCCAAGAAAGGCAGCTTGACTGAAAGGCATAAATACATTTCTTGCAAAAGGGTGTAAATCACAAGAAAATTTTAAATTGAAATGAAAGAGCACTACGCAGTATAGCTGAAGCCATTGATGAATTTGAGATAAGTTTAACATGCTAACATGCAGAGAAATCCATTTCCAATGTTTAAGCAAAGATATCACCAATGTGACAGAGACCCTGGACTATTAATGGCAACCTAATAATTTGAAAGTCAGTGTTCATACCTTTCTGTGGAAGAGGCGCAAGCTGGATCATGTTCTACCTATTACAAGGCAACTGCATATTTTACTTATTTTATAAGCAATAATCTGCATCCAAGAGTTTTTAATGCTGCCCTATGTCTTAATTCATTTTCATGCAATTTCATATTGGATTATATTCATCTGTAAGAGTTTTGTGGACTTGCATTTGATTCCTATGTGCATGGTAAATGCACAAGTGTGTCAGTGTGCATACTGCATGTGTTCAGAGGTCAGACAGTCACAGGCATCTGTCCCACCTTCTATTCTGCTGTCTGCTGCTATATACACACAGTAAGGAGGCCAAGAGGCTTCTAAGAAACTCTCCTGTCTCCATCACCTCACAGCAGAAGGCTGGAACTGTGTCAAACTTTCTGTGGGCTCTAACGTTGTAAACTCTGGTCTTCGTGTTCACAAAGCAAGCCCACTGAGCCACATCCATAGCTTTGTTTTATGTTTTTAGGAAAGACCTTGACAGCTGTGTATGCCTTGGGCCTTTTGTTTTGAATTCCAAGAATAACTTGCACAGGAATAAAAGTTTGCATTATGTTTCTTTCCTTCCTAAATGTGTACATGCTAACCGCTCCACCTAAAATCACATTCTCACTCGTTCTCTCGCTCACCCATTCTCTACCAAGCACTGTATTGGCTAAATTCCAGCACTGAGTGGACTTTCATAGGTGTCCTCAGAGATGTGATATTGAAATTCACTTTCCTCCGGTCTTTGTAGCTGATGGACAATCAGACATGGCATGATATTCCTGAATTCTGATTTCATTTGAAACTTGTACTTGAGATTCCTTCAACTCTAAGTGGCCTCTGTGGGAAGTTCAAGTTCAGTAAGTATTCCAAAGTTTTGCTTGCTTTTAGGTTTCCACCAAGGCGCAATTGGAGAAACTCTTCATGTCAGATACTCCTTGGAGAACTGGTGGATTTCCCATTCAAGAGATTTCTTTCCAACTCTCCCCTGGCCTGTGTGCTGTGTGCTGTGTGCTGTGCCCTCAAAGTTTTTACAACAGAGGGAAAGCAATTCACGATGGAAGACACTTCTTTTTATATAAAAATTTATTTTTCATTTTACATATGAACCTCAGTTCTCCCTTCCTCCCCTTCTCACGCCACTGCACCTCCCTCCTTCCCACCCCAGATCCAGTCCTCAGTGGGTAAGGCCTTCCTTGGGATTCAACAAAGTCGAGTAGTTTCTGATGATAAAATACCAAAGACATTCAAATGGGCGTGAAAATTGAGCTAACCTAATAAACATGAGTTCCTGTAACAGGGAATTCAAAGTCCCATTTTATTATATGTAGACATTAGCCATCCAATGTTGTAAAGTGTCTGAAAAATATGTAAAGCTAACAAGCAACCCAAAGCTAATGAAGTCTGCCTTGTCCTGAGTTTGTACTACAGAATGTTACACTGGTTATACTTAGTGGGCAGTGAATCAGTAAAAATGACAAAATGTCCTCTAACTAATAAATTGTGTGCGGCACCCACAATGTGTACATATTTCCTAGAACAATGGTAAAAGATAACATGTTATAAGGTATACACAGTAGTGTGATCTGTTTAGATTTAATAATTTAAGAATTTAGAAGTTGACATAAACAAATGTTCTGTCTTAACTAAAAGCACAGTCATAAAGAATAGGAAATCCTAGCCAGAGATGAATTAGCATAAGGTTCCCTAATTTGACCAGGCAAACATTCAGTGAGGGTGAACTGAATGCTGAGCCAATGCCAGCGAATGAAAGGCTTCTGACTTTGAGAAGCTCATATCATCAAGTTCAGAAGATGACACACCTACAATTCCAAAACTTAAATGGGGTCACTGTCTCCGAGAACCTCACACAAAATGCAGATTGATCACTTTCCTGGATACAGGACTCTGCATTTCTGAAACACTTCCAACTGGTGGTAATATTACCCAGTCTCTGGATCCTGAGTGAAGCACGGGTA